CTAAAATTATGATTATTTGCAAATAAAAAAAGTGAAAATATATATATATATATAAATAAAAGGTACCGATAGATACCCGATAGAGGGAAAAAAACTACTCGATACACAGAGATATACTGTATCCGATATATAGAGATATACTATGGCTGATTTATAAAAGATATGTACCTGATAAAAAAAATAAATAAAATTGGGTGCCCGATATATAAATGATGAATTTGAATAAAATATCAAAATATTAATGCCCGATATGAAACCGATATGGATCCGATAAGTACCCGAACTTTTGCATTTCAACCTCACCAATCAGGTGCCCAATATATTACATAATTGTTGATATCGGACACCTATCGTATACCTATCGGGCTCCCGATAGGCATACGATAGGTGTCCAATATTTCCTATTTTGACCAGTGTTATCAGGTACTCGATATATATCTGATATTGGGAACAAATATTATACTTATCTGGTATCCAATGTGTATAGGATTTTTAAGTTTTCGATCAGTGAATAAAATAAATTTAAAATTTTTATAATAGATATACTTTTTTATTAGCTATATAAAATTAAAAACTTTTATATATAGTTACAATTGTTAATTATTTTATTATATATTTTATAAAACTATATTAATTATATAAAAAAAAGAGTGATGCTAATTTTTACTAGAGAGAAATTCCACTATAGGCAGGATTACATAATTCCTGATTAGTCCTCTAACCTTAATCCTATTAATATTAACTTAATTCTGTTCACCAGTTGATTTTCCCTCCAGTTAAATATAGTTTTTTTCTAAAAAAATCTAAAAAATCTCAAAAAGTTTTTTAATAAAAATTTTTTTTTCAGTTTTTCAATTTTAAAATCATTTGATAAAACAAGTTAAACCTTTCAATTTACTAAACTTAGAAATTTCATCTGCAACTTTAACTATAGAGAATTGTAAATTGTGAAATTACAAATTTTTTTTTTTATTAAAATCTTTTAATTATTACAGTATATATAGTAATATTATAATTTTCAGATATTATTTTTACTTGGGAAATAATCAATTAATATATATACTTAACTATAATCATTTACTTGGGTACATTTCATTAATCAATTAAAGAAAGCAGATAAAATTTTTGATGCAAATGAGCAGAGAGATATGTGGATGATATGCAAATCAACTTTAGTATATTATTTATTGTGACATGTCAAATTAATAAAGAAATATATAGTGCAGTATATACATGTTGTCAAAATTATTATAAAAATTGAAAAATTGGAATTGGTGGCAATAGTCACGGGTCTGGCATTGACATCACGTCTTACGAGTTTTTTTATTACATAATTGATGTCATCAAAAATACCATGTTCTTATTTGTATTGTTTACTGATGATCCTGACGATCATCGCTTCTGTTTTTTATTTCTCGTGTGTGCGAGATTAAAAAATCGCATCGGAAAAAAAACAAAAGCAAAATGGTTTGGCAAAAATCATTTAAAAGGAAATTTAGAAACCTTCCATCTAAGTACATATCCGATTTTTTAAAGCCAAAAAGCAATAAACCAATTGCCACATTATTTAATAGAGATCCGCTAATCAAACCGAATGAAATTACATTAAGCGAAGAACGTCCAATAGTTATTCTAGGAAGTAGCCGTTGCTGTGAAATAGGCTTTCTAGAAATAAATGATGAAAGTACAAGTAAAATTAATATATTTGACATTCACTGTCAAATTTCCGTGATAAAAGAAAACAAAATTTATCGTACACAGGTAAAAGACAATTCATATAATTCTTCTACCTATATCGAATTCGGACCCGAAAATGACAGGATAATAAAAGTTATTGGATATACCAATACAGAGAATTTAAATGATGGAGATGCGATTCTAATTGGAAATGAAGAAACGGGCTTTATAAAATATGTATTTGCTGACGAATTCCGAAAACAAAATGATCTGCTTTTTTTGCATTCTATTCCTCAGGAACTTAAAAATTACAAAAAAGTCTCAGATATTGGGGAAGGTGCTCACTCTAAAGTAATGAAGGTTAACAAGACATCTTCGAATAAAATGTATGCTTGCAAGATTGTCTCTATAAAGCAAGAAAAATCAAAGAGTATAATTAAATGTCTGAAACAAGAACCTCGCATAATGATAGATCTAGATCACGAAAATATAGTAAAAATTAAAGCGTTTTTTGAAAGTGAAGAACGTATTGTTATGATCCTGGAATTGATGGAAGGCGAAGATTTATTTAAATATGTTACTCAATTTAAATTCAATGAGCAAAGAACTCTCATAAAAACTGAACAAATAATCGGATTCATGAATCAACTACTTCACGGAATAGAATTCATACATGATAAACAAATAATTCATAGAGATTTAAAACCGCATAATATTTTATTCGATTCAACTTATGAAACTTTAAAAATATCTGATTTTGGTTCAGCGAGAAGGATTGAGAACCTTAATTCTGGTTCCGAGTTTTATGAAATGGAGATAAATGGGACCCCTTTATATATGGCACCTGAAATTTGCAATGCAAGACTTCAAAGTAAACCCACTGCCAAATATGGGAAAGCTTCAGATATGTGGTCCCTTGGTATAATTCTTTATTTTTTGATAACTGGTTCTACTCCATTCAATGAGGATGCAAATGAATTTGCGATATACGTAGAAATTACGGATTGGGAATTTAATCCAAAAGAGGTAAATATTAAAGGATTAACAGGGCTCTTGATACGTTTATTAGATAAAAATCAAAAGTATAGAATTACTGCAGAGGATGCTTTATACTCTTCAGTATTTTGTAATTATATGTCCTGAGGGGAAACTGGATAAATTTTAAGTTAAATTTTCTTGATTGATTTTTAAATTTGCATGATTACCAAGAGAAACGTTAGAAATATTATCCTTGTCAAGATTTTTTTTTGTCAATTTTTGAATTGTCGTAAGTATCTTTACATGTAACCAAATGATTTCCTAATTTTATAATAAATTTTATAACAATTAATAAAAAATAATTTTGTTATTTTACCAAAATGTTAAAAAAAAATGTTACCATTTCTGGATTTTGGTGATGTTAGTTTAGCCTTTTGAAAATAAGATTCCAAATTGTAAATTTTACATATTTCTTCATATGACTTTGCGTAAGTTAATTTCATATGCTTCAGTTCTTTAGAATGATCCGCGTGCATCTGCATAAGAGTATATTTGGTATTTGCCCAATTATTGTCAACTTCCATTGACTATAAATATCAAAAAGATTTTTACTTTGTTAAAGTCAAAGTTCGAGAAAATAGAAAAAATGATATAGAAAAAATGATATTAAATATTGACAACCTTTTTTGATGTAGGAAGTCACAACTTCTTCAAGAGGTAACATTCCTTCTTTTCGAAAAATTGAAACATTAATTTGGGCAGCGCGAGCGATCATTATTGAACTCACATCTACGCAAAAGTTAAAAATAATTAGTCAACAACAATTCATTGAATAATCCATTGAAGACTCTCAATAAGTCTAAGAATTATTTGAACTCACTTGACATTTCTTTTAATTTATCTATATCCGAACGTTGGAATACATCTCCATTCGCAATAATAGGTATTGATGTATTTTCTACAATATCTTTGAAGATGTCCCAATGTCCCGGATCTTTTGGTCTCTCATCGCGTGTTCTTATAAATTAAAAAGTGACAAGATATATTATTAAATTATCTATCTCAAAAATAAGCAGAAATTAAATATTTAAGATTCACACCTACAATGAACTGTAATTGCCGAGACACCTGTAGATTCTATCATTTTACAAAGTTCTATGGTTTTTTCCCTGGTATCTAACATCCTATCAATAATAATAATTCAATAATAAGGGTAAGGAAATCTTTTTTTTTTTTTTTTTAAAAAAAAAAAAATCAAATCAAATCATCTATTAAAACAAAACCTTATTTTACAAGTAACCGGTAATCCACAATTTTGTACTAAATTAGTCAAAATCTATAATATAAATCTTTATTAAATGCTTAAAGAAAATTTGTAGAATAAATTTTTAAATGTTTTACTTACTGCTTTCAATTTTTCTGGTTCTGTTAATAAAGCTGCACCCATTCCACCTTGAATGGAAAACCTTTTAGGACAACCACAATTAATGTCTATTCCTGAGACATCATTCTTTCTATCAGAGTCATTATTTATTAATGTGTATATGAAAAAATGAAAAAAGGTTTAAATTTAAATTTAACAAGAAATTTCTTTGACTTTTCTTACACTTTTAATGCAGCTTGAAGAGCAAGATCTGGATCAGCAGTTCCGATCTGAAAAATCAGTTTAGACTTTTCAATTGAATGTGTTTTAAAGTTCACTGAATCTTTATTATCCACATACGAAATTAATCCTGTCTCTTCTATAATTAATAAATATAAAATGTGAATGTGAAAAATGTAATTATTATTATTTTTTTTTTTTGTTTCGGAAAAATTTCCGGTTAAAATCTATTCGCACCATCATATCTTCTTTCGGAAGCAATAATTTTTTTATCTATCATTTCAGGTGAATAAACTAGATCTAAAGAGAATTAAATGTTTCATTTAACTTATGAATTAATTCACCGTAATCAATTGTTCAGAAAAAAGAGTTAGAATTAAACCTGCGCTGTACTCTAAAGCCAAAAGTCTCGTAGGCAAAGTTCCAATCCTAACCTAAATTGATATAATTTAGAAATTTGAAAATTTTTTTTTTTTTAAAAAAAAAAATTAGAAAATCTTTTCCAAAAAAAAAATCATACCATCGGAGCAAGAATTAATTTATTTCTATAATCTACAATTGTTGACATTGTCGAATAAAAAAAATTCTTAAATAATTTTCTAAAAACTTTCCTACTCCTGCTCAACATTGAAGAATAAATAAATAGTTTTTTTTTTTTTTTATCCCAATTATGCATTACATCATAATCCTATCATAACCTTTAAAAGAAAATGGTTAGTGACACAAACAATATTTGACACATTGCACAGCTTCGAAATCATTTTTCGAGTTGATTTTTTTTTTTTAATCTTATTATTAAATTAATTAATTACTTCTTATTTTTGAAATTTTACGAGTTTCATATTTAGGTAATGATTTTTTCCAAACCAAATTTCACTTTTATATTAATTAATTATCAAATTTACAATAATAGTGTATTATTATTGTTTCATTAGCAAAATGGCGGATGAAGTTAACATTCATATTGCGGGTGAAATGGCCAAGGAAAAACTTTTTTCTGAGGTCACTCCCGAAGATTTAGAATGGACATTGGCATCTGGTTCTTCTACTGAAACCCAAACTTTTTATTTGACTACTAATGAAGGTCATTTTGCTTTTGTCCAAATGATTCATTCTAATATTAGGTATATTATTTTTAATAATTTTAAATAGTGATTTATTAATGAATTATGATTTGATTTTTTAATATATTAAAATTTAGTAAATTAATGAATTGTTTCTAGTTTATGGAATCCCACTATTCAATTCACGGCTCGTTTCTTTGGTGCAGATATCAATACTTTCAAATCTGTCAATATGTCCAATTTCAAACTTTCGACTGATCGTCGTTCAGCAACTGCTGATAATATGTCTATTTCTCTTAATCCTGAATGTAATAAATATTCGGTTCAATTAACACATGAAAAAGAATTATTGGTAGTTTTTGATTTTGAAAGAATTGATCGTGGATTTAAGATTGGCGGTGGTAAGACTTATTTTGGAAAAGATAAATCAGCAGGTTTTGTTGAACACAAATTTTGGCCTAAAGGTAAAGTTAGTGGTACTATTGTAGTAGATGGGAAAGCATTTGATGTTTCTGGAAGTGGATTATTTGTACATGCAATTCAAGGAATGCGACCACATTTAATCGCTTCTCGTTGGAATTTCCTTAACTTTCAATCTAAAAGTGCATCTTTGTCAATGTGTGAATTTGAAACAACTCCTCAATATGGAAGCATAAAGATCAATCAGGGTTCTTTAATGGTTGGAAATAAATTAATAGGGGTGTCAGTAAATAATCAAGCGAATTTTATGACAACAGTATTAGATCCGGACACCGGATATCATATTCCGGAAAAAATTTTATATACATGGGAGGGAAATACTTTGGATACTGGAGAAAATTTCAAAGCAAGAATGGAATTTGAAACCGAAGTTCTTATGGACAAGATTGATGTTCTAAATGAGATCCCTTATTTCCTTAAAAAGATAGTACAAGGTAAGTAACAAAAATATATATGTATACACATTTCACTCGCGTTGATTATTTTGGTTCTCTCTTTTTTTTTTTTTTTAATATTTTTTTTTATAGCTTTCGTTGCTAAACCGTATGTCTATCAATGGTTTAACGACACTACAGCTTATATTAAAATTGGAGATAAAGAAGAATTTGCTGTTCCCGGAAAATTGTTTAGTGAAGCAACATTTATTTATTAGAAAAAATAATAATATTATAATATTTTTCAATTATTTTGAATCAAATTAAATTTTTTGGAAGATAATAGAAACATTATATTTCTTTTAACTTAATAAATTAATAAAATGTATAATCTAATTTTTTTTTTATTATTATCTCTTACAAATATAAAAATTGTATACATTAATTAATTCATTAATTACAGTCAAAAAAATTGTATTTCGTGATGTATACAACTTTTCATTAATTATTACGATCATTAAAATAATATTTCTTCTAACATTTTTATTTTTCATTTTATTAGTTTATTATTAACCTAGAGTTTCTGATCGAGCATTATCAGAGATACGCTTTGCTTCTTTGTATAATTCATCTACTGCTAATTTTCTTTCTTCAACCATTGTAACCAATTTAGATTTATTATTATTACTATTATTATTATTATCATTATTATTATTATTAGATGTATTAGTTGTACTAGTTGGAGGAGGATCAGTTTTATCCATTATTGATGTACTCAGGCTAGTAATTCCACCAGATTTTGAACGCATTTCAAAATGTTGAATAGCTGAAAGTAGTGCATTCAATTCATCTGTAAAAGTATTGAATATTTAGATCGTTTAAATTTACGCGTTATTTTTAATTATTTTTTTAATAAAGAACATAATAATTGAAGAATATAAATATAAATACTTGTTGCGGAAGCCATGGGATATGGATATGTAAACGAATTTTCGCTGTGAAATTTAAAAAGTATAAATTTTAGTTTTTTTTGATAGAAAATAATAAATTCAAAGGAAATTTATTTAATAAATTTTTTAATATAAAAATATAAAATTTACATTTTGCTGAAAATCTCGGCTCCACATTTTTCGATCATATCTAGTTCGTAGATTAATCCATCTAATGCTTTTGAGTGTTCTTCAATAACTGTCGCTTTATGAGCCATCGAAAATAATTTATGTTCAAGCGTTACTCAAAAAATTTCAGTTGGAATCATGTGAAATACTGGACAATTATTATTCTCAAACACAACATATCGAACGTATCTTTCCTTTGTTAATAAAACGTTATGGTAGGTTACTAATTATGAGTAAAAAAAAATATTTTAAACTTACTGCTAACGCTAAATGGCATAATACTATATATAGGAGTTTTCAGAACAACAAAAAAAAGGTACATAGAAATCTTTAACTTGTTTCAATTATTCATTTAAAAATTCTAATCAAAATTTAAACATAAATTTGTAGAATATTATCAAGCTTTTAAATTATATGATAATAAAGGTGATGAACATATTCCAGTTGAAGCATTGGGAGACTTATTGCGTGCTTTAGACCAAAATCCGACACAGGAGGAAGTGAATCAACTTATGAAATCTTCTGGAAGTAAAAGTGAATATATTTTAATTTATTTAGTTCGAATCATTTATTATTAAGTTAGAATCATTTATTATTAAGTTAGAATAATTTTTTTAGAATAAATTTTTAGAATAATAATTTTTTTATGTTTTTATAGTTGATTTTAAGAAATTCCTCGAAATTCTTGGACGTCCAGGTGGATTTTCACCAGCTGGTACATATGAAGAATTTATTGAAGGTTTTCAAGTTTTCGATAAAGATAGAACAGGATATATATCTGCGTCTGAATTGAGATATGGTAAATATTATTTATAAATATCAAATTACAAAGGTTATGTTTAGATTAATATAATAATTTGCTTTGGTTTAGTGTTGACAAATTTAGGTGAAAAATTATCTGATGCTGAAGTAGATGAATTGATGAGTACTATCGACATTGACGAAAATGGGAATCTTAAATATGAAGGTGAGAAATATATAACTTTTTTTTTTTTTTGAATTTTTTTTCTTTTAATTCAAATTTTAATTTTATTTATATATTTTATTTATATATCTTATAATTCATATATTTTTATAGAATTTATAAAGCAAACTATGTCATCTTGATTTGGGTATATTTTCGTGATATAGTACGAATAAATTATTTATTTCCTTAACATGATATATAATAAAATATTATACAAGCACGTTATTGTACCAGAATAATTGCAATTATATTATTAATATAAAAATTGAAATTAATTAAATGGAAAACTTAAAGAAATTAATCTTGATTTCATTATTTTATCTTGCTCGGATATAATAAATATATCACATCGGGTTTGTGGAAATTTAAACTGTATATTATTAAGAACAATTACCTGCAGAAATGCTCAAGAGATCCAATGAATCAATCAATAAATCTATTGAAAATCCCTCCAAATAAAAAGGTTAAGTGATTAAGGAAGAGAATTCTATCACATTAAAAAGGCTTATCCAGGAATTGTCTTCTGATACCACTCGAATTTCTGAAGTTAAAGAAAAAAAGGGCTTCACAAAGAATCGGTACGAGAAGTAGAGGGTTCTAGAATCTTTTTCGATTTGTACCCAAAAATTTCAAAGGCCGAAGAACAGAACAAAGATGTACATCATGAGGTCCTCAGTAGTTATTATTATTTTGAAGAGGAGTTAGAGAAACGTCTTCTCAACTATAGAGAAACCAATAAGGATCATGAAGCCCGGAAAAAGATTTACGATGAGGTTAGGGATCAATTTCCCAAAGAGGTTACGAAAAATTTCAAAAGTTTATCTATAAGCTCTGGACATTTGGAAACAGTTGCTTGCTTTGTGAATTTTTGGATTTCCACATACTCGTCAGCATTACACCATTTCGGTTTTGCAATTTTAAAACCACAACGAACAATTCTCCAGACTTCAGGTCTAAAAAAAAATAATTAGTATCAGCATATATTAATAATTGACAATTATCTATGATTACCTGAGAGGATGTCCTTTCTTTTCTGCAGATTTTGCCAAAGGTCAGTAATAAGATTTCCAGAACCGAGTCTCCATTGTTTCCAAATACTTTTGTTAAACAGGTACTCAGATATTGGTATTGTTGGATCTTCTTCGATTTCCAAGAATGATAGATCCGGATCTATCTCTGTCCCTTCTTGTAACTTCCAGGTCCAATATCATAATTTATGCTCTAGACAAATAATCAGATTAATTTTTATCGGAAAATTATTGAAAAAAAAAATTTATTTCACATAACTAACCTCTAATGAAAAATGGAAGGCTGAAAAGTTTTTAATAAATATTGATTTTGCATGTAAGTCCCCAGGATATTTAATTGGCAGTTCGTGTATGAAAGAGAATGAAATTTGGGGATATGTTATTTATTTCTTTGCGCATTTTTGAACTAGCATCTTACTTAACTATTAAATATTTATAAACTGATATATTGGAAAATTAAAAAGTTAGGTTAGACATAATGTAGCTTTTCAAAAATGTGCATATATTGATAATTAATTATTGCTAATTTTTATATATATATAAACAGCATAAATAAATTTTTTTTAATAATTTTTAAAATACCAATTTTAAAAATGAAATATTATATATGTAAATTATATTTTATTTGCATATTAAATAAATAATCTAAATTTAATGATTATTATAAATTGGAGGTTGATCACCCACAATTTTGAATTTCCCATTCTCTTTCATAGGCGGATTAGCAATTAATAAAAATCGATATTCGAAAGGTATGACGCACGGTGATAAATATACTGCCCTTGAAAAAACTAACCCTAACCCATGCGTGGAGTGAATTGCTAATCCGCCGACGAATCGGAGTGCGCCGGAATCTACATAGTTATGTTCAAGCGAAATAAATTTTTGGATTGTAATTATATTAAATTATATTACCAGAGCAAAATCACCCCTAAAATTTTTGCTTAATAATATTATCAGTTGGAATTCTCAAAATCTATCAAAATACTCCTAAACTTAGATTAGTATGTTCTTATAAAAAAATTATTCTACAAAATATAAATATTTGATACAGAGCTCTGACAATTTTAAAGCTGTTAAAGGCAATAGAACAAATATTTCTGTAACTTTTTGGATAATTTTTTTATAGAAATATGTTAATATATGCTTTGGAGTATACATGGATAAATTTTAAATAATTTTTTTAAGCAAAAAATCGTGGGGGCGATTTTGCTGAAGATTGCTAATTGGTAATGTTTATGGTCACTTTATAGAACTTTGAGTTTAATCATTTATATTAATATACTCCGAAAATATAATTAAAATCCCAAAATTTATTTTAAAAAAAATTTTATTCGTTTAGGTTGAAAATTGATGGACATAACTATGTAGGAAACGCAGATTCCGGATGTACTCCGATTCATCGACGGATTAGCAATTAAGAAAAAAATACATATAATATTTATTATTAAATTAAAATATTCTTTCTATAATGAATAAGATAAATTACATTATACATAATACAATCTAATTATATTGAACCATCGAATAAACGGTTTACAACGCTCTCAAGTGACTGTGGATCATATTTGATATATTTTGTGGGATTTTTTGAGAACTCCGATTGTTGATATCTAAATTATTATTATATTATTATCATATTATTTATTATATTATTATTTTTAAATATAAATTTCTTCAAAATCTATAAAAATAAATAAATAAATAAAATGAACTTACTTTTCTAAGAAACGATTATACATTGGTATTAAAACATCCCTTATGTCTTTTATAACTTGAGTTCGAAGTTCAAGATCTGGTATGGCGTATCCTTTGTGAACTTTGTATAATTCATCAAATTCAGTGTTGAAGTTCTAATAATAACAAAAAAATTTGTAAAAAATTGACTGTGATATAATAACAATGTAATATAGGAGATATTCACTTTTTTTTTTTTTTTTACCTTAAATTTTTCTTTAACAGTTTGTTTATCATTATTAGTCTTAAAAGTACCTCCACGCACGTATGTATAATCTAAAAGAAAGCCAAAACAAGATTTCCATCTGAAGAATAAAATGGATAATGAATTATTCCAAAATTCTAGGTGAACTTGAATATAAAATAAATATATAAAATATATAAAAATATATAAATATATAAAACAAATATTGAAACATACGAATCTTGATATGCATCATTATATTTCTTCACCAATTTATCATGTTTGAACTCAATTTCCGAATCCAAAACTGATAAAAATTGGGATCTTATCGATTTTAATATATAATGATAATTATTAAGTAAAAATATTGATGTCAATGCAGGTTTCTTGTACGTTTTTGCTTTGCTATCAAGACTTTGTGATAAACTTTCCAATATATCAGCTAAAAAAAAAAAAAAAAAATTAAAGATATATAAAATAAATGAATAAATTATATAAATACGTTATATTTTAGGTATATCAAAACATTTTAACACAAATTGTTTTTTTTATACCAAAGTAATGTTTCATTATAATATTTCCAGATGCACCCCGTCCACCTTTATCACGAGAAGAAAGAGGATCTTTCTCTGAAACATTCCAATTTCCATCTCCCAAAGTTAACAACGTTGATTCGACCGTTTCTGGATAATCGGTCAAACGTTTCAATTGTTGTAATGTCTTTTATTTAAAAAATAATACAATTTGAACTTAAGTATAAATAATAAATTATTTTATGTAAAATTGATTTAAAAGATTTTTCGAACATACTGTAATTGTCAATTCGTGTACAGTTACATCATTAGGAAGACCAGAAGTTTTTGTGCGATGACTCTAATAAATAAAAATTAAAAAACTTATGAGTTTAAGCTATAAAAAATTTCATAAATAAACAAAGTAAGTCATTTTACCTTTATTTCATCCAAAAACTCTGGAAAAGAACGTAAAGCAACAGCTCTTAAAGAATGCAAAAGGTCTGCGTATGAAGAATCCTTTTTACCTGCAAGCTTTTTTTTTTTTTCATTAATAGTTGAAAATAAATATATCAGAGATATCCGAGAGAACTAAATGAACTATTTATAAATTATTTAATAAATTATTATTATAATAATTACTCTAAAAATTTCTTCGAATGCTACCACATTTTTATTTAAAGATTCCATCATATCAAATGCAAGAAATACGTCTGTTTGCATATTCTTTTTAACTCGATTATTTAATGTTTTACCAATTTCAACAAAATTATCAAAAGATTGTTGAATTGCTCCTCGAAATCCTGCAGCCACATTATCATGTGTAAGGATACTTTCCGCCACTTCATATTCTTTCTAAAATAAAAATAATGTCCTTTAATAATATATTTTAAAAAGAAAGAGCATATGAATTTTTCACAGATTGAATTTTATTAATTTCAATTTAATAATTAAAATTTTTAATAAAAAAAGAAATACCTTAAACATTTTTAATAAAGAATCCGTGTAAGAATTAAAGCCACATGTACCTTTTTCATATACTGGAGTACTTCTTTTTTCAGCAGTACTAATTGAAGCTTGACCCAACAAAGTTAATGATTTTACAAGATAATTTGACCTAACATCAATATAAGCTTTAACAAAATCACTACTATAACCGAGTTCTGGACTATATGTTGCAAGGTAAGAAGATAATGTCGCAAGATTTTTTAAGGGACCTGATGGGATACCAGGAATTTCTGTACCTATTATTATTAAAAATAAATAAATTGAAATTTAAATTGTGTCAAATTGAAATTTTTATTAAGTCAAAATTGAAATTTTAATGAATTACTTTTTGCAATATAAGCCAACGGTTCAATCGGGGTACTTCGACTAATTAGCCATTGACGAAAGATATCTTCCAATTGTAATATCGCAGCTTTTAAAATTTGTTTCTGTGAATTAATTAATTAATTCAGGTTTAAGTATAATAAATAAATCATTTTTATATTTATATTTATATTTATATTTATATAATTAAAAATTCTTTTATTACCAGTTGACCCAAGACTTTTTCACTACTTTTTAATCTCATCGAACCCAAAATCTCCATAGCTTTATTACATTTATTAATAGAATTTAAGTAAGGTTCCAAATCATTTTCATTTGGTCTAATATAAATATCATATATAGATATAAATATATAATATAATCAGAACAATTTGAAATAATTTGTACTAAAATATGTTACATTAATTATATTTAATTATATACCCTCTTTTTATTGTCATTTCTTCACGTTCGACAAGTTCAAAATATCCAATAATTTCAAGAACGCCACCGCGTGTTTTATCAATGTCTAAATTTTAATTTAATATAGGAAAAATATTTCGGTAATAAAAAAATTACTTTGATTCCTTCTTCTTCGAAGATTTTTTTTTTTTTAAAAAAAATAGATTACTAATATATTATTCGGAATAGATTAATATATTACAAAGAAAAGGATACTATCCACCAGCTTTGATAATGTCTGTGTTGATTTATGAATTGGTAATATCGATGCTTCTAATCTCACTAATCTATCATCAAATACATTCAACATGCTAGTCTAATAATGATAACACAATACTTTGTAAAATGAAATGCTTTATATAAAATTTTTCTTTAACTTGAAATAATAATAAAAAAAAAATTATGCTAAAGTTTACTAATATATAATATTATCCACGAACAACCTTGCTTCTTTTAAAAAGTATTTAAGAAGAAACTTAAGTAAAATTTCTAAACATTAAATAAAGGTCTCCAGAAAATTATTCCCATAATCTCAAACTGACCATTTTTTCGGTTAAAGCTTCAGTTTTCCTTAGATTTTCTTCTAAAAAATCTAGATCGGCACTTTCTTCGTCAAGTCTCTCCATTTTAAACTTTTTTTTACCAAGTATTACCCTAAAATTTTCGAGTCGGATATTTAAAGGAAATTTAATTAAGAAAATTTTCCCGAGACTCGGGATTAAAAAGGTCGACCAATGATAATTTAGAATCTATTTAATCTATTTTTTTATTCATATAAAAATAAAATTTTTAATTTTCTTTTTGATTTTTTCTTCCTTTGAGGCATCCATTGTTCATTAATAATGTAAAAATTTATAAATTTTAATTTTCAAACTGAATTATAAATTTAAACCATTGACTGACTTAAAGAAATTTTGTTAAATCTAATATATAATATACTCGTTTCTTTTTTTGCAGTAAAAAATGAAACACAATAACCAGCTTCCGAATGGTCATTTTCACAAAGATTGGCAGATACGAGTTAAGACTTGGTTCGATCAGCCAGGACGTAAAAAGAGAAGAAGAATCAATCGTATCAAAAAGACTCTTCAAATTGCACCACGTCCTACTGAACTTTTAAGACCAGCAGTAAGATGTCCCACCCTTAAATACAATACTAAATTAAGAGCTGGTCGTGGGTTTACTCTTGATGAACTGAAAGTTGGTTGATAATTTTATTATTTCTTTTATCAATTAGTTGTTTTATGTTTTAGATTTGAATCAATTTAATCAATCTGATAAAATATTGGTTATAGACAATAAATTTTCATAGTTTTAAATTTTAAATTTATAATTTATTCCTGGTGATAGGTAGCTGGGATTCGTCGTAAGGAAGCACTCACTATTGGTATCCCCGTTGATCACAGAAGAAAGAATCGATCTGAAGAATCTCTTCGTCTTAATGTCCAACGATTGAAAACTTATAAGAGTAAACTTATTATCTTTCCCAAGAATTCTAAAAAACCAAAGGCGGAAGATTCTAAGGTATCGGAATTTTTTTTATAAAAAATTTTAATAAATATTAATTTAATAAATTTAACATTCCAATTTTTTTTTTTTTTTTAATAATAAAGCCTGATGAATGTGCTGCTGCTACTCAGCATAAAGGCGGTATCTTACCAATTAAACAATCTTGGCCGTGTGAAAAAGCACGTCCTATTACTGAAGAAGAAAAGAAGGTTAGTGCTTACGCCACTTTACGTAAAGCTAAGAATGATGCTCGCCTTGTTGGGGTGCGTGATGCTCGTCGCAAGGCTAAAGAAGAGGAGGAAGCGGCAAAGAAGAAATAATTTTTTTAATATTTAACTCGTTACAATTTAATTCTATTTCTATGACTTTAATGAGTTATTGAAATAAAATAAAAAATTTAAAAAAGGAAAAAATTCTTAATTATGACGAGAAGGTGTAAATTATTTTTAATCAAATATGAGTTTTTGTTTTTCAACTATATAAAATTTTAAATAATTTTAAGGGTTCAAATTTTAGTGATTATTTTAAGAAATTAAAGATTATAACATTGACTTTTATTTATATTTGAGTGTGTACAATAAAATTCAATTAAAAATGCATATAAACTGTAGATTTGAATTTTAACTTTGGTATAATTCACTTTGTTACACATTTTTTGATAACGCATTTTTTATAGATATTTATTATGATAATTATTACAATTGAACCTTTTGTCCTCTTTTTGTTGAAAATAGAATGAAAAAATTAACTTATATTTCAAAGTTACGACTCATAAGTTACCGAAACTCAACTTACAATATAAGACATTCGAAGTCAAAATTCGAATTACCTAGGAATACATATATAACTAGTACTAGAGTTGACTGTGTTAATAAAAATATAACTTCTGAAGACTTTGACAAAGAGGGAAAATTTGAAAATTTCTTTAGAAAAAAGGAAAAAATCAAATCTAAAAAGGGTACTAAACAATATAAATCTGCTACAGAAAAATGGTCAAGTTTAGAATTGAGAGTTTTAGAGAATCTTGTTGAAAAGCATGGGCAAGATTGGGACTTGATTTCAAAACAAATGGTAGTTAGATCTGCTGGCGATTGCCGTAATAAATATTTAGCCATAGCTTCAAAAATTCCCGAAGCAAAACGAATAAAAAAAGAAAAATCATTAAATAAAGGATCAGAAAAAGTAATTTGGACTGAAGAAGAAATAAAACTTTTGGATAATTTGTTAATAAAATATGGACGTAGATGGAGTAAAATCGAAAAATATTTTTCAACAAAGGAAGCAAAGGAAATAGAACATTTTGTTAATTATAATCTTGATAAATTTTCAACTTTTTTCAAATTCCCAAATAGGTTAGGTAGAGCTAAAATATGGTCTGAAAATGAAATAAAGATGTTAAACGATTTACTTGCAAAATATGGTAAAAATTATGATTTGATAGCAAAACATCTACATGGTAGAACAGCACTTGCAATAGTTCGAGCAGTACCAAAACATTATTTAGATTTACCAACACTTAAAAATATTAAAATTCAAAGATGTTTTAAATTTTCGAGTCGTTGGAGTGATCGGGAGACAAATTTATTAAATGATCTTGTTGCACACTTTGGTCCTTACTGGTTTTCCGTAGCTGCAAATCTTCCTGGCAGAACACAGGCTGCTTGTAAATTGAAATATAATGATTGTTGGCATTTTCAAAATGATAGGACAGAAGTCACATTACATAAGTGGCCCCAGGAATTAATTCAAATTTTGGATATCATTTTAGCTAAATATGGAAGATGGCAAATATTACCAATACTTTTACCTGGTATAACACCAATGCATTGTCAAGTAAATAATTTAAAAAATTATCAAAATATTCCTCCAAGATACAGTGAATGGAAAGATCATGATAAAATACTTTTAAAACATCTCATAAAAAAATATGATTTCAATTTAGATAAAGTTAAGCCTTATTTTCCACATAAATCTCGAAGTGCAATTAAACATCAATTGAAATCAAATCCTGAATTATTAACCATAAATAAAATAAATGAATCGGAAATGGAAATGGATTTAAATGATATTTTTGAAATTAATTCAGATGTTTATCCTAATCGTTGGACAGCGACTGAATTAAAAAAGTTATTTATTCTTGCGAGGGAACATGATTCAAATTGGTTTAAAATAGCTGAAAATTTACCGGGAAGAACACCATCTTCATGCTGGTTAAGATATGTTATTTTATCAAGAAAAAATAATCATGTTGGAAAAAATTGGACAATCAAAGATCTTATTTGTTTTATTGAACTGTTTCAAAAATATGGCCCAGATTGGGATCTTATAGCACAACATTTTACTGACAAAAAACCCAATGATATACAACGGTTAGTGTATCATAATACTTTAATCTCTACTAATCTCAATATTTTTCAACATGAGATGCGACGATGGAGTTCAGAAGATATAGTTAAATTTAGAAATCTTTATGAAATATATGGTCCAGATTGGCAAGTAATTGCAGATTATTTACCTGGGAAAACACATGAAGATTGTCTTGAATGTTATCATTCTCATAAAGATTTATTTGCTCATGTTTCATATCAACGTAAGTTGATTTCTTGGTCAGAAGCAGAGAAAAAATTATTAAAGGATTTAATAGGGAAATACAATGAAGATTTTGATAGAATTGCAAAATTCTTTCCTGGGAGAGGATCTACTTCCATAAAAACATATTATAGTCAGCATCAAGAAGAACTTGGTTTAAAGGATTATTCACTAGATGAAATAGAGAAAAAAGCACCATGGACAGGAATTGAAGAAAATAAATTGATTAATCTTGTCAGACTTTATCATGAAGAATGGAAACAGATTTCTAATTATTTACCAAATAGATCTCCAGAAGCCTGCAAACGCAAATATTATACCATTCTACAACAGGAAGTACCAAGCTCGGAATTTACTTACTGATCTATAAGATTAAATTTACATTTGTATAAAACTTCTACATTTCAGGTAATTAAATAAAATTAGTTTACAAGGGAAATCCGTTAAATTATTTCTAGAAATTATTTTAATATACTAACAAATATAAAATATTATTTAAATATTAAAAAAAAAAAAAAAAAATCAATTTATACAAATTAATATTTAATAAACTTTTGAGATTAGAAATAATTTTTTTACCCATATCCAATCTTTTAATTATTATAACACAAACATTGTAGTCAGTGTTTGAAATTCAAATTTTAAATCTTGTGCGGAATTTACACAATTTAGAATTCTATATGCAAAATTTGTGCGGATGCCTTTTTTTTACGTGCAGAGTTTTCAAAATTTTGTGCTAACTCATATTCCGTACATTGAATTTCAAACACTGATTGTAGTATTGTACGCAGTAAGAATGCAACTTTAAAAATACGTTAATAAAAAAAAACGTTAGATTACGTTTCACATGATATATAACTTTATATGTTAATACAATAGTCAATATACAGTACTAAATAATTAATTCAACTGCGCATAAGCAATGAACCATTATTTATATCCATTTTTAGAATACAATAACAATTGTACATATTTGGATATGCATTTTTGGTACGTCGGTAAACGATCTCGCGTTACCCCTTAATATTTTTTTAATATTTTTAGGCTTTTCTCACTTTTCAAGCGAACACTTTTTGTTTCCACACTACAAGTTCTACATTTAAAAAGTAAGAAAAAAAATTTTTTTTTTGTTTTTGTTACTACAAGTTTAAAAGGTAAACTTTTTTAAACTTTTTTTTTTCTACGCGAGTTTAAAGTCTTATTTTATTTTATTTTGTCGCAAATTTGTTTTTCGGATTTTCTTTTCTTTTTCTAAAAGTTTCGTTTGTAAATTTTATTTACAAACTTTATCTTTTAATTATGCTCAATCTGTGTAATTTTGAAGTATTTTGTAAAGAAAACGAATGAAATAATGTCATGTATTTTTATAGTTCTCCATCAATTTTCTTCTTGATATGTCTCTGAAAAACTTTTCATACATATTAAAATTATATACAACACAAATATAATAGAATAACAATGATTTTTTGGTTTCATTTTTATTAGCAAAAAAACAATTGTAATTCATATAAATTTCGTTCTCTCAAACTGAGAAATTTTTAGAAAATATTTAACATAAAAGTTATTGTTCAACAGTACATAAATATTAATTAAAATTATTGCTATGTACAATCAGTTCATCATTAATATAATTAAAAATACCAGAGCTATCCATGAATTGAGCACTTATTCGCACATTTTTAAACTCTTCATCATTTAAGAAGTGTATAATATTAAGTTTGCTCAATTCTTCGTTATATAGATAATAGAGATTTTGAATTGAATTATCCTCACATGTGAAATGTACTATCCATACATCTTCCGTAGATAGCTTATTCCCATATTCAAGTACTCGTACAAAGTGTTGTGTTTTGGTTGCAGTAACTAGAATTTCCAAAACAATCGTCTGATGTGGAGTTTTAATTATGAGATCACAATATGTGTGTTTATCTTTTTCGTTGGCATGATATTCTACCAAATGCCACTGACAAGTGACCTCGGAATTATGTTGTTTGGAAATCCAGTTAATTAAGATCCTGTTTATCTCTGTATCATAGACAATTTCTTGGGGAACACGTTTGTTTTTTTGACCGTTCACATATGCATAACTTTCATTTATGTTAGATGATAAAATGTTCAGCGTGCCCCATATTTCAATTTTTTAAATTTCTTGAATTTTTTAGTTTTTCAAGGTTCTTGTAAATGAACAAGATGGTTATAACAATAAACAAGGTTCTTTACAAGCTGGCCCTAATGTCAAAAACAATGAGTAAAAACTATAATCAAAGAATCGGTAACAAATATTACAGAAATTACAGAAATTACAGATAATAATAAAACATTAATGGATTGTCCTAGATGTCAAAAAGTATTTAATAATCCATCCATATTGAGGATTGATTAATTCACACCTTGATAATTGTTTGAACAAGATAAATACAAGACAACAAAATCCATTAAAAATAACAATCAACAACAACAAAATAGTTCCCTTTCTAATTATTTTAGAAGATGAATATTTAAATGTGAGAATCTTATCAAATTAGTATAAATGATAATGATAACTATAATGACAATATGGTCAAAATTAATGATGCTTAATATAATTCAAAAAGAAGACATCTTTAGTCAAAATGTATACATAGAATTATGTAAATGAAATTAGCCAAAATTCCATAAAATAGAAAAATTAGAAATCATTATTTGTAAAATAGTTTTAGTACTAGTATAGAAATCAATAAAGTTATGTGTTCTCAATATTACAGATTTTTTTTTTTGAATGTAATAGTGATATAAATTTGCAATTCTACAATATTTGTTCCGGTTTAAAGTCTGCTCGCTGTGGAAATCTCTGTAAAAGGCCATCAGGTTTAAATAATGCTCTCCACTACTCGATAGATAATCTTGTTACATACATGTATTTGATCTACCAATTACATCAACAGCTTGTTTAATTGACTTTTTTTTTGTAAGTGCTTTATACATAATTGAAGAAAAAATCATCACTGAAAAGAAAAAAATTTGATGATTAATTTACTTTAATATGAAAGTTTAACAGTTTATTGCCCCTAAAAACCTGTTATTTAGTTATTTCACAGTGAACAACTGTAGATATCAATGATTTCACGGCTATTTATAATTGTTGGATATCATCATCTTTACGTGAAATCATGATATTTGCAGCTCGCCGTGAAATAATTAGATATGTATTGTTAAAGGAATTTTTCAACAAATAAAAAAATCCACCTATTTGTAAAAAAAATCTTGTTTTATTTTATATAAATTAGTTATTTATTTTTTTTTATTTCTTGAAAATCCAATTTATAAAATGAGTGTCATATTCCCAGAGACAGTTACTGACTTAGATGGACGAACCGTTAATGTCGGAGAGCTTGCAAGTCGTCATGTTTTAGTCTTCATAACACTCAAGGTATGAAAGTCATATAAAATGTGGATGTCAAAAAATTGTTTGTGTTCACATTTTTCAACTTGAAGGCCACCTGGTGTCCCGTTTGTCCTCAACTCTTGTTAATCTTGAACCTCCACGGTTTGCAAGATGACCCACCTTCGGAATTTCGAGATCCGTTTGATGACTCGATCATGCGAGTTGACCCAGAAAAACTCCCAGTATGTTTATTCAAGCCAGTCCATTATTTTCATAATTTAGTGGATATCAGAAAGAGAGATATATATATATCTATATTTATTTATATTTTATACTTTACGTTTATATCGTTTACATTGCAAAATCATATTATAGTTTTATCGTCTACTTCTTAAAACAGATGCATATTTTATTATCATGTGTCCAAAGAGACATAATCAAGTTCGACAAATACAGAAAGCATGTAATTTCACAAATTTACCTTACCCATTTGTCGTTGATGAAGATTTAACTCTCGCATCATCAATAAATTTAAGGTATTCTAAATTTTTATAATTTTTATCGAAAATCAATTTATAATGCAATAGAGTTTTTATTAAAAAGCTTTTTTTGTTCTCATTTTTTTAAAGAATGTCAGAAAATGAAATGTGGCCTTGTATTGGATATATTCAACCAGAAACTAGAGTAATTCGTCCGATAAGTTCCGGACGAGGTCCTACATTCTATGGTCACAATCATTTGCTGACTTTTTTACGTGATTATCGTACTCGAGCTGAAAAAAAAGCAGTTGAAAATATTATTAAAGCTAATGAATTGTTTTCACTCTTGAAAAAGTTGACTGAAAATCAACAAGAACAACAAGAATCACAAGAATCACAAATACAACAGAAAAAACTTTTACCTGTAGAATTATTATCTCAAATATTTGAGTATTTAGATTCTATCGAAATTTCTAAAACTATTATGTCTATATGTCAGCATTGGAGAGCTATTGGGTTAGATGTCATGACGACGAGACTAAGAAAAGAAATTAAAGTTATCTCCGATTCTCTAGTAATTCATTATGTATCAATAACTAATGAAATTAAAGAAGTTAAAGAAATCAAAATTAACCCGGACAAGAAAATGGTAAGTGTCCGCGATTTGAACGAACGAGCAGAAAGATTATATAAAATGGTTGAAATTATTCAACCTATTGTTATATGAAATTAATGAAACCAAATAAATAAAATTTTTTAACGAATCACGTGTTATTCGAGTTTTTGAAATTCGATTGAAATTTTTTATCTCGATTGATTTCAAACATGACATCTATTCATTCTTTGTTAAAAGTATCATTCCCAAAACAAATTTCTTTATTACATTTTTCCGCAAGAAAACATGCCTATCCGGTAAATTTCTTTATAAATAAAAAAATTTTATGCTCGTGGACTACTTAAAAAAATATATAAATTTATATTTTGTAAAGGTACTCTACTTGAACCAAAAAGCGTATAATTCTTACACTTCTGGTGGTAATGGAGATTATTCACTATTTAATTTCAGTACAGACTCTCGACGTCCAAGATTACCACGAAATACAGTTAGTAACACTTATAAAGTTTGTCTCTAATAATTATGAAATTTTACTTGGAATCAATTTTTTTTTTATTTTTTATTTTTTTAGGTTATCAATTTCGTGCCACAGCAAGAGGCATGGATTGTAGAACGTTTTGGAAAAGTATGAACCATATATCGATTTGAGACTTTCAGAAAGAAAGAATTCTCAATAAAATAGTTACTTTTTTTTTTTAATTAGTTTGATAGACTTTTGGAACCAGGTCTCGCGTTTGTAATTCCTTTTCTTGAGCGGATCCGATATGTTAAGGGATTAAAAGAAATTTGTTTAAATATTCCTGCTCAAAGTGCTATTACGCAAGGTTAGAATATAAATAAATTTAACAAAATTAATAATTTCAAATAATTTCAATAAAAAGATAATAATATTTATATAAATAGTTAAATTACATATTTTATTTTATTGTAGATAATGTTACTCTTGAATTGGATGGTGTTTTATATATCAAAGTAATAGATCCTTACAAGGTAATTAACTATTTATAATTTTTTTTTTTTAGTTCAAAAAGAAGTTCGGATCAATTTATTGAAATCGATTTTAGGCATCATATGGTGTTGAGGATGCAGAATATGCAGTTGCACAATTAGCACAGACCACCATGCGTGCTGAAATTGGCCAAATGACATTGGATAGGACTTTAGCGGAACGTGCTCATTTAAACGCAAATATAGTAGACTCGATTAATAGCGCCGCGGATGCATGGGGCATTCGTTGTTTAAGATACGAAATTCGTGAGTACAAAAGAATTTCTTGAAAACTATTAAATTCTTTATATAATAATATTTTTATTTATTTTTTTTTTTCTTTGAAAAGGTGATATTCATCCACCTTCGAAAGTAGTTGAATCTATGCATTCACAGGTATCCGCTGAACGATCAAAAAGAGCTTCGATCCTTGAATCCGAAGGTTTGTTTCGATTTTTATCTTAATATTAATATATCGCGCTTAAAATATATCGCTCTTAAAATATATCGTGCTTAAATATGTCGTGATATCATATAATTTTTTTTAGGTGCGAGGCAAGCCGCAATAAATGTTGCTGAGGGAACAAAGCAATCTGTTATATTAGCTTCAGAGGCCGAGATGTCTGAACAAATAAATAAAGCATCTGGTAAATTATATCACTTTAAATTGACTTATTTATTGTATATAATATTATATTTAACAGTATATTTAACATTATATTATATAGGTCAAGCTAAAGCTATTCTTCTTCGTGCAGAAGCTACTTCTGAAGGTATCAGACGAATTGCCAGCGCTATTAAAGAAAGTCCTCGCGGAACAGATGCAGTAGCGCTTACGGTTGCGGAAAAATATGTGGAAGCTTTTGGACAACTTGCAAAACAGGGAAATACTATTATTGTTCCAGCTAATTCTAATGACGCCGGGTCAATGATCGCTCAGGTTTGAAACAATTCAACAATATATATATATATATATATATTTTCATATTTTCATCAAATGTTGTAAAATTACATTTACATCTTTTTTTTATCTTCTTTTTATCTTATCTTTTATCTTGTCTTTTATCTTCTTTTTTTTTTATCTAGGCCTTGTCAATATTTCAAACAATTTCTAAACAACAAGCAATATCATCATCATCAACATCAGAGATTCAACCCAAAAATGATTCATGGGATTTAGATACTACTCAACCCCAAAATGATTCATGGAAATCAGAGAATTCATGGAAATCAGAGAATTGGAAATCAGATAATTAATGGAAAAAAAGAATGAATTTTCAATATTAAAAATCATTAGGGTACAAAAATTTTTTGTATTGAAAAAAATTAATTTCATTGCATAATTAATGCTTAAAAAAATAATTCATGATGGAAGAATATTTATAGATGTAAAAAGTAAATAATAAAAAAAAAAATTAATTAATAATATATTTAATGATAAAATAATTTTAAACCAGATTTCTGTACCCTTCTTGGATTTTTTTGAATTCAAAGACAACTGAAATAAATTCATTTCACTTTTGGTTGATTTAAATTTAATATTTTATTTTTAAAAGGCATACATACATAATTTAATTTAAATATCTTACCCTCTTATTCACAAACCTTTGATGTTTATTAAATGAAAACATTTCAAGAATAATTCATTCATTTTAATTTATTTAGAGGTTTTCGGTTTTTTTGTCCCGTATTTTGAACGAGAAGTTACTCTATTAGGAACACCTGCAAAGTCTAGAGCACCTCTAATAAGATGATATCTGACACCCGGCAAATCTTTAACACGACCACCTCGAACTAGAACATTACTATGTTCGCTCTTTAAATTTGGTAAGTAAGTAATAATAATAATAATAATAATAAAGTAATTCTAATAAAAATTCTAATTAAATCAATTATTTGATATTTTATATTGAAAATTTTCCTTACCAAATTATGTCCTTCACCAGGTATATAAGCTGTAACAAATTTACCAGTTGATAATTTTACACGTGCAACCTTACGTACAGCAGAATTGGGTTTCTTCGGTTTTGTAGTGTATACTTTACTACATACACCTTTTTTTTGATAACACTTTTCTAAGGCAGGAGATTTAGATTTTTTGGATTTTTTTTTACGTATTCCACGCATAACTTGATTAAGTGTAGCATATGAAGTTATCTGAGGTTGAATTCGAAAACTATTAAAATAAATTCCCAAAGTTGAAGGATAACACGTCCGTTTACTGAGACTAATATTTCGATTAAAAAGATTCGTTAATGATTTTGTTATCAGTACGCTACTACCATACTGTAATCTTGAGACGCGTTGCATTCTATAACAATTTATAATAAAGCTTTTTTCGATTATCTAAAAAATATTTTTATCTGTTACACGACACCACAAATGATTTATTTATTTTATTTGCATTCAATTTTTTTTTTGATCTATTAAATTTGTTACTATGATATCCGCATTACTTTGGGTTCAAAAGGGTATTGTTTCTGAAACCCCTAAAAAATATGAACTTGACGATAATGAATATGAACGAATTAGTAATCAAGTCTTGGAATTAGAAGTACCAAAAAATGAAAATAATGTGTAATAATTTAAATGTAATTTTTTAATTATCTTTCGAAAAAATATTTGCGATTATCAATTTTTTTTTTGCATATTTAAAAAAAAAATAGAAAAATGGAAACGAAAATGAATGTTGATGATGTTTCCGAATTAGCAGAGTATAATTTAGATCAATATGATGATGGCGACGTAGATGAGAGTGGACAACGTTAGTAAATGTTAAATGTTTGAATGCTAAAAAAAATTCCATTGTATCATAATTTTTTTAATCTTGAATAATAAAAATTATAATATTAGCAATGAGCATTTTTGGAAATATAAAGGGTTTAACTTATTATACTTCAAATGAAGAAGATCCATATATAACTATAAGTGATGAGGTAGTGCAAAGATGCCCTTTTATACATTTGTGTTTTTTTTTTTTCAAGAGTAACAAAAAAAATGATAATTTAGTTTTTAATAAAAGGACGACGAATCTGATGATCTTAAAATTCTCGCCACTGATAATGTTATAGTTGCAGCAAAAACCGAAGACGAAATTTCACAACTAGAAATATATGTCTATGAAGAAGCTGAAGATAATCTCTATGTACATCATGATATTATGCTTTCATCATTTCCTTTATGTTTAGAATTGTTAGATTTTCAATTAAATAGAGAGGAAGGAACTAATGATGGAAATGAAAAAGGAAATTATGTTGCAGTGGGAACTTTTAATCCAGAAATCGAAATTTGGGATCTCGACATTATAGATTCTATGTATCCCAATGCAATATTAGGGAAAAATGACAAGAAAAAGAAAAAGAAAAAGGTAATTCAAATATATATATATATATATACACATTTAATATATTGTAGATATATTGAATTTATCATTATGATATTTTTTTACCATTTCATAGAGAAATTCAGAATACCATACCGATGCAGTCATGTCATTATCATGGAATAAACATCACAGGTAAAATATCAAATTATATTAAATTTATATTATTAATTTACGAACGAATTATTAAATTTAGTTCACGCGTCGATGTTAAAAGAATTTCTCTTTTAATCTTTAATAATAAAAAAAAAGAAACTTATTAGCAAGTTCTTCGGCTGATTCAACAGTAAAACTTTGGGATCTTCAATCACTTAAATGTGTGAATTCATTTAAACATCATAAGGACAAGGTTAATTTTATTTTATAGATTTTATAAGTATTCACTTTTCTTATTCATTTTTTTTTATTATATTTAAAACACTAATACAATTTATAAATACAATTTATAAATACAATTTATACGATTTTATACAATTTATCCAATTTGTGAACAATAGGTTCAACAAGTCGAATGGAATTTTATGGAACCAAATACATTATTGACTGCATCTTTTGACAAAACTGTCGCAGCTTTTGATAGTCGTACACCTGATAATGTTGCATATTGGAATATAGGAACTGATCCAGAATGTATACGATGGGATCCGTCAACTCCTCAATATTTTTATGTTAGTACAGAAACTGGTTTGGTTTTAAATTTTGATATGAGAAATTCTGGTCAAGTAGCTCCAATTTTTACATTACATGCACACGATTCGGCTGTATCATCTTTGGAAATAAGTCCATCAATTCAAGGATGTTTGGTTACCGGGTCAACGGACAAAATGGTTAAGGTTTGGGATATTAAAAATTCAAAACCGTCAATGGTCGTAAGTCGAAATTTAGAGGCAGTAAGTTGTTTTAAATATTTACTTATAACTATATTTATTCATTAATTTTTAGTTAATATCTATTTATTTATTTATTTATTTATTTATTTATTTATTTATTTATTTATTTATTAATCTTCTTTAATGATATAAGGGAAAAATATTTTCTACGAAATTTTGTCCCGACTCTCCTTTTCAATTGGCCATAGCTGGTTCAAAAGGAAAAGTATTTATTTGGGATTTATCATGTAATGCTGGCATAAGGAATTCATTTAAAGGAAGAACAAGTTTTCCAATTAAAAACGATGGAATAAATATAGATGTAAGCATTAATTTTAAGTTTATTATTTTTTAAAATTTTTATAAACATATGTTTAAATTTTCAGAAAACTGTGAAAGCTGAAGACCAAGATGCTGATGATGATGATGAAGATGACGAAGATAACGCTGTTGAATTGGAAGATATGGAAGATGATGATGACGATGAAGGATAATAGAATAATTTAAAATTTTATTTCTTTTTCAATTCCTAAAGGCAGTTTTTTTTTTTTTTTTTATCCACGATTTTTTATGTCGGCCTTCTAAACAAAACATCTGTTAATACTTATTAATTAATTAATTATTTATTTTTTACAACAATATGTATGTTTATTAAACCAAAATTTTAAAAGTAAATATTTTCACAAATATAAGAGGTTAAAAAAAAAGATGAAGCTATTTACATATCAGAAATTGATTAATTTTTTTAAAATAATGCAAATTCCCTCCAAAAAATTATATTAAAAAAAAAAAAGATATCGGGCGAAAAAAAAAAAAATTCTAATGAAAATACAAATAAAAACGCATTCTTGATAAAAATACAAGTTTAAAATGCGGAATTGAGATAAATAAGAATTACAAAAAAAAAATTTTTTTTATGAACTTTCTTCAATTCATCTCACATATTCTCATCAAAAATCGCCCATTAATAACGGAAATGAATGTATTTATTAAATTTATATTAGATATCTCCAAACATTACCACTGATAAATATTCCGCAAGTTGCCATTTTGAAGGGGGTTTGAATTTATCCATAATGTATTGTTGTAAGCAAAAGAAATTGAGTTGATCTTGAATCAAACTTGTCCAACGAAGGTAAACGGGTTCTGGTGAAAGAGAAGCAAATAATTCATTACTTTTACTACTTTGATTATCTCCAGTGTTTACATTAGTTGAAGAACCATGATTATTATTATCATTATTATCTCTACTATTATTACTACTATTACGATTACTATTATCCTTACTAGAACTTGAATTAGTAGTAACAGTTGATACTGCTGCAATATCTGTTCTTAATTTTTTGGTAAAATCTTCGAATGCTATGGCTTCAAATTCTTGATCAGCTTGAACGGTAGATACCATCATTGAATCAATTCCGCGATCCATTTGACCACGATAAAATTGTACCCATCCCAAATCTTCAAGGTATTGTTCAACATCATCAGCCACGCGTTGAAGGGCATCCCAATCGTGAGTATAAAAGTAATTAACGGCTAACATATTATGTAAAAAAAGTCCAAATCTTTCAACAATATGCATTACACGTTCTTGACGCTTAAGTGCTCTCTTGGGACCTGGTGGTTCTGCTGCTAAACCAGGGAGTTCAGAAGGTGCATTTATTGTAATGAGTTGTTTCGCAAAGTCCGTCTCTAATGGATAATGCAATTCATTTGCTATCTTTAAAAGATTTTCTGGTGGAATATCTTGACTATAACGAACAAACCATAGATGTGAAGTAACCGTATGCGGTCCTGTTAAAGTTCGAAATAACCGATTTGTAGAAAATAACGAACGTAAATCTTTAACGTTGTCAATAGAAAAGATTATAAGATATAAAATTTCTGTAGGGAGATTGGTTAACTGTATTTGGTGAGACATTTTCGACCAGATAATTTTATTGTATTGATTGTTTTTCTGCTGACTCAGATATGTTTGATGAGTGAAATTCTGTTATTTGAGAAAAAGGGTTAGAAGTGTTAAAGGTTTGACTGTCCCGTGGAAGGGAGTGGTGAGTATGAAAGAACAGAGATTGTAGAGGGTAAAATGAGTGAAAATAGAACAAACAGAATCCGATAATTAAAGAGTGACTTTTCATAAACTGATAAACATTTGATAAGGTTTCTTCTTAAATGCCATAACAATGGGAAATGGGGGAAATGTTTAATCACATGACCGTTAGATAAGAAATTTCATTTCGAGTGAGCGAAATATCTGGCTTATAACAGTTTTATCTAGGCCCCAATGAAAAGAACGTTCAAACATTTACATTATATCGTTATATCGTTAAAATTTTCGTTTTTAATTGCTAAATCTCTTTTCAAAGAACTATGTTTTAAAGTTTTTGGGAAGCTCAAGCTTTTGATGGTAGATAAATTAGATATTGAAATTTTTGTAATGTAATTGTTTTTGGGTCTTGCCATAATTGGCTTTTTAATTCCTAGAAGAATAAAATTTTTTAAAAATTTTATTGTGAATTGTTGATAATAAAAATAGCTGGTCTTTTGGGACAAAATTAATGAGAGAAAAGTAACTTTGGGAGATAATTTTGAATCATAATAGCAAAGAAGTTGAAATTGAGTTAAAATCTTTACATATGGATAGATTTATCCAAGATCTTCACAGATCAAATGAGACACCTAAATATAAATTTATAAATAGGTTTTTCATAAATCTCATTTATGCAAGTAAATTTTATTTTAGGAAATTTATTATGAACCTTTAATGAAAGAGTAAATAATAAATACCTCCTGTTATAAACAATAAATATTATTTACATCATGAGTTTCATAGTCCTTTTCTATCCTAATAATTACAATACTTACAATTCTTTATAGGGATTAAATGAAACGCTATACAATAAATAAGGATTGGAACCAGCTCTAAAAAGCAAACCAGGATATCTGGAGAAATGATAATTCCGGCTGGCATTAAATATAAATTAAATTTTCTGATCTTTAATGCCAGCTGGAATAAAAATTTCTCCGGTGAAATTATCTAAACCTATTTTCATCCGAGTGAAATTTCATCCGGATATCCGATTTCCAGGTGATTAGCTAAACCTATTATGAGAATTCATATTTTAAACTTTATATACTATTTTATAATTATTATTTTTTTTTATATTTGGATGTTGACATTAATTCTAAGTACATAAATAGTAAATTTTCAATTCATTTCTTCATTTTATTAAAATGTTGATAAATGTATTAGAAAGTATCATTGAAACGAGGGGAAAATTATTACATTAACTAATTAATCTTTAATATTCAATATATTTCTAACCCTGTTGGTTATTACTGAAATTAATTGAATAATTTTAGTTTAACATTAGTTTTTTTTAAAAAAAAAAAAAAATCTTTAAACAAAGGAAAATCGTATTTTACCTTACGATCAAGTGCATGACTTTAATCACAAATGCTTCAAGGTGAATTATCACTTTTTGTCCAGTCCTCAATCGATGATCCTTTATAATAATAAATAATAAATAAGCATATAGGATTTTGGATGATAATACGAAAAATTTAGTAATAATACATACATAAAAAGCAGCTTGGGCAGTGATTTGCGTTTTAATGTCCTCATTCACATGTTTAAAAAGTGCAAATGTTAATGCCTGTAATGAAATTAAAATAAAATTAAGAAATATTTTTAGCCAGAGAAGATTAATATGTTAAGTACTTTATAAAAAAAAGCAATTCTAAACTGTTATTATTATTATTTTATTATTACCTTTAGAATGATCGGTGCAGGAATACAATGATTTATTAATTCATAAAAAACTAATCGTATTTCCATTATACTTTAATAGAAAATAAAAAATTAATTATCATCATTATATCGTTGTAAAAAGAATTTAGAAATGAAAATATTTACTTGGCGGATGATTGCGTTTTGATAATAGATTTAGCGATATTTTCTATATGATCTTCCCAATCTGGTGAGGGTATTTCGGAAGTTTTGCTGATATTAACCCTTCAATTTATAAATGCGAACGTGATTTTTTAGAATTAAAGATTTTTTCATCCAAAAGAATCCTTTTAGATAAATTATATTAACTGTTGCATGATCATCGTCTCGAAAGTCAGAATGGCACTTCTTAGGTTTCCCTTTGATTTTTCAGCAATTCGAATTAAGACATCATCACTTATTTTAATTTTTTCATTTGTTGCTATTTTTCTAAGAACTTGGGTGGACTTTGATTAAAAAAAATATATATATATATATATATTTTTTAATAAAACGTGTAAGTGTGAAAAAGTTAATCTTTTTAAGATCAAGAGAGAATTATTCAAACCTCCTCAATAGTAGGTGCGGCCACTCGAACAAGCAAGCATCTGCTTCGAATAGGTGCAATTATTCTACTTGTGACATTACAACAAAAAATAATTCTTATATTCTTAGCATATTTTTCCATTGTACGACGTAACGCCGCTTGAGCATCACGACCAAGCGCATCAGCTTCATTTATAATGATTACTAGAGAATAAAGTTTATTTGTTAAAAAAAAAAATGATAATTAAGATCAAATATAACAAAATTTCTATAAAAATACCTTTGAATCGTTGTTTTGCATTTAAATCTACTTGTTGAGTTTGTGCAACATCTTTTATTAATTCTTGAATAACTAATCGATCATAATTTCCAACATCACTGCATCATTGTAGATCATTGTAAATCAAATGTAAATTGAAATTTAATTAAAAAACGTAAAAAGTGTGGTTAGTCAAGAAATCTTTACCTAGGCGTTACTTCTAAATGATAAATACTAGATGCGATATTTGCGTCTAATTTTCTATTCGAAGATGTAACAAAAGTCCGTTGATCTATCTTGATCTACTGAATGCAATTAGAAATATAGTATTTTGACCACATAAATTAAATATCAAAAAAAAAAAAAAGAATTTATATACTTTTTCAACACCTTCACCAAATAATTCTTTTAATATGCAAGAAATACGCGTTTTTTTTCCTGCACCGGAAGGACCATACATAAGCATATGTGGAAAATTGCCTGAATGCGCCTAAAAAAATAAAAAATAAAAATTCACTAAACCTATTTACTAAAATTTTAAAAAAGCACATAGTTTTCTTTAAAGTTTCAACCAGTACATAAAAAAATTTTTTTTTATTGAACAAAATAGTACGCACTGTAATTTTAAGCAGGTGTGATAGGTCATGATGATAGGTCAACTGGTCAAGTGAAGTTGGTCGATATTTATCTACCAAAAGACTCATTTTTTTTGTATTTCTTTTTGAAACAAAAATGTTTAAAAATTTTAAATCTCTTAATTTGTCATCAAATCAGATGATCATCGTGGACTGTGGTTGGTCAAAAAATCATAAACTTGTTATTTATTTGTTTCTATATATCAAAGATTCAAACTACAATCTAAATATTGTTAATTTGACATTATCTATGTTATCTATGTGATATAATTCTAAAAATAATTTCGCAAGTTTCTGTCCATTATGAAATAATATTTTGGCATTTATTATAATTTAATTTGCATAAACTAAAAATCTGAGGCACTTTGACTAGTGATACTATATATACAATATATTTAAGGAATCTCACTTTAACAATTTAAAAAAAAGAAATATACTTTATTACATTATTGTATTTAGTATCTAGTTTTTATAGTTTTATTGTTTTTAGATTAAAGAAATTTATAGAAGCAACGTCAATCAAAAATCATTTAACAAGATGATTTACTTCATGGATTTTCCAGCAACTTGTTGATTAACTACTATTTAGAATATTGGAAGGAACTAAAAAGAAAAAAAGATTGTTGGATTATAAGATTCATTTATTCCATATCTAGATTTATATAATATATTTTAATATATTTCAAGATTCCAACGTGAATTTTTTTTTTTTAAAAAAAAAAAAGTTGTCTAAATTTGATCAGTTTTTTTAATTAAATGAATGTGGATAAGTGGATAAGTGGCGTGAGGTGATATTTCTGAATACAAATATTTTGATAGTTTAAATAAAGTTAAATTTAACCGTTTTCTTTACTGAAACATTATAAACAATGAACCAATGATCAGGTTTACTTGCTTATCAAACGGTTTTTAAATGTGACAATCAGAACTCTGGGGAATGATCAAACATTAATAGTGTCTTATTTTTATAAAATTTATAAATAAATGTGGAAATACAATATTATTAATCTATGTATAATATAGTTTAAATTTAAATCTACATAAATCTTGATTTTAAACTTGAAGTTTTGATTATGCAAGGATGAAGTTGATTAATAATTAATAGTTTATTTTTTCATACTAGACAATGAAATGTGAAATGTAAGATGATCAATCAAAAGATAGAACGAATAAAAGACAGGGAAGAATGATTAACAATATACATATAAAACAAAATTAATTTAATAATTTAAAACGCTGATTTATAATTTAACAATAATATTACAAAGTTTAAGAATTCTTGGCTCTTTGAGACAACATTTATTCCCAATAATAATGACTTGACAAATGTAGTCTTTTTTTAATACAATAAATACTACGGAACTAAAATAAAATATTTTATTAAATAAAATGTATGTACGCTCTGAATGAAAAATGTATGCGTTACTGTAAATAATTTGAAAAATTTATATGTTATGTATGCTAATTATGCGAAGTGACGTTGCTATATATGTATGCTATATATGTATATGCTATATACATACCGTTGGTTATGGTTTGAAATAAAATTAAAATTTATTGCATAGTTTTAATTTTTTCAAAGAAAAAATTCAAACAAAATAATTACTAAAATGACTAAAATTCAAAAGCATTAATTGGATTTCATTTAATAATTAATACAAGATAAATTAGATAAATGAGATAAAGTTTATAATTGAATTATATGATAATTTGATAATGGTAATTTTAATATGAAGTTAAAGCGAATTAAGTGAATTAATCAATTGATAAAGAATCTATTCGCAAAAAAAATCTTCATAAAAATGAATTTATTAATTGAAACTAAATAATTTAACTAATTCTACGAAAAGATAAAAAAGAAAGAAAGAAAAAGAAAAAAAAAAAAAAAGAAATATAATTTAAAGATCATCGACTAACCATTATAGCAAAAAATCAATAATTTAAATAATTTATTAACTCGTTTCGTTTCATTTAATATTATCCATACTTTTCCTTTTCATGTGATAGATTAAATGAAAATGTTTAATTAAGATCTTTGATAAATTTCAAATAATAAAATAATTCGGATTTATTTTTAGAAGTATGACAGAAGTAAGGGGAAATATTACTTAATATCATTAGTCATAATATTAATACTTGTTCACAATAAAAATATACGATTACATATTTACATATCTGGTTAATAACAAGTAACTGTATGTACTACAAAAGTGAGCATGTGGCAAGTAAACGAGGGGGGAGAAATACGCGATTTAAATGACTAAAAATGATCGATATCCATTCTTTTTACAACTTTAAAACTATAGAATTCTGAGAGAATATTATGTAATAATCAAGTAACCTATCATATACTATCATATTCTATTCCCTTATATCGTAATAAAGCCCTTACTGATATATTTCTGTATTTTCTTATTTTCTTTCCGCTATAAGAAAATTTATTCAAAAAATAATAAATGAAATAAATAAATGAAAAATCAATAAAATAAGTTTTATTTTCTGTTACTGTACACTTGACCCCACCTTTTCTCTTTGTTTTAATTTCTTTACCTTATTTGGATAAACTCAATTAAAGTGCAATAAAATTCAAATATGAAAAATAATATTTCAAAAATTAACTCTTACTATTTTTTTTTTTTAACTGCGTCTGTTACGTGTTCCTTTTTTGTGTAATGTTAGTGAGAATAATTATAATTAATACGATCAAATTTAAGCTATCATTTAATATGCATTACTATAATTTACTATTATTATTTATTATTGTTGAATGAATGCTATTATATACTATTATATGCTTATCATTTTCATTATACTATCATTATACTATATTATACTATCATTTGATTATTATTATTAATATGCTGTATATTATGTCACTTATACATTTTCACTATATTTCATTATATTTCATTATATGCATTATGTTATATGCGTTGCGAAACATAAATTAGATGTGGGAATTATGAAGGTAAGCCAACTAAATTACACATATTCCAATTTTTTCTTTTTTAAATTTTTTATTTAAAATATTACATATTACAAATTATTGTTTAGATTATTATATATTACAATAACTTATTTTATCCTGTATATTTTATTTCTGGTACACAATAATCTATTATTTTAATTATTTTAATTACTTAATTCTCATATTTTAATATATTGCGATTTCTCGGAATCCTGAAAAACTGGTTTAACATAAACATGGGGTTTTTTTTTTTTTTAAAGTTTCGACAATAAAAATTCAGAGTTTACAATCAATTATGCAAATAAATAAATAAGTAAATTGTAATAAATAAATAAATAAGTAAATAAATAAATAAAAAATAAAAACATAAATAAAAATCTTATATTAAAATTCATTATTTCAAGAAAAAAATTTTTTTAAAATTAGAACAATTCAAAATTCAAAATATAAAAACCCAATCTTCAACCTCCCAAACAACAAATTTTTTCCTTTCAACATCAAAAAAAAAAAAATCAGTTCTGGATTTGTATTCTCCAAGTAAAAAGAAATAATAAAATTAGTATTGATTGACTCCGCTTTTAGAATAAAAGTTAAAAATATATAAAATCCTCTGGTCCCAAATTCTTACCCAATTTTTCATCCCCATTTTTTCTTGAACTGTCTTTTTTTATTTATTCTCTTTTAAAAACAATTCTTTTTTCTTGGGATTTCATTTGGGGATTGAAAATTTAATCTACCGGGCCTTTTCTTTTTTGTGAACAGAAATTTCCTTCTTCAAAAGATACGAATAAAAAAATTGGTGTCTTGTTTGATACAATTGCCAAAAAAACCACCATTTATAAATTCATTTCTTCTTTCTAACTTTCATTTATTTTTTCAAAAAAAAAAAATTCTTAAATTCCTTTTTTTTCTTTTTCTCCACATCAATCTCATCTCATTATACAATCATATACAATCATATATAAACATATACAAACATATAAAAACATATATACATATACAAAATATACAACAGACATATACAAAATATACATAAACATATCTTTTTAATAAAACATAAAATGATGGAATACGTTTTTGTTGATGACTTACACCGATACAAGCGTTTAAAAGTCACACGTGCATGCGAGTCATGTCGTCGTAGAAAAGTTAAATGCGACGGAGGATCCGGAGGCACCCAAACTCCATGTTCAAGTTGTCGTAAATTAAAAATTCTATGTGTCTTTTCAAATATGACCGTAAAGAGGACAACTCCGAAGACTGAACAAGAACAAATGGACGAAAAATTACAACGATCCGAAAGTCTATTACAAAAACTTGATGATTGTGATATTAAATCAAGAAAAGGTGAGCTTTATTTTCTTTTTTTACAATCTTGCTGAATGGACATAATTCACATATCGTATATTAGTCTTCTCGTATTTCCTTTTTGCACTTCCTTTTGTGTCTCCTTTTTATATTTCCTTTTATATTTCCTTTTATATTTTCCTTTTATATTTCCTTTTATGTTTCTTTTTGTATTTCTTTTTTGTATTCCCTTTTGTATTTCTTTTTGTATTTTCCTCTTTTATTTTTCTTTTGTATTTAGTAGTTGAATAAAATAGATTATTCTTTAGTCATAATCATAATATAAAAAAGCTCGGTCATGACCTCAAACCTCATCAAACTCTTCGACCATATTTCTAATAGTAAATGGCGTCGGTTATGTTGACTTGCTTACTGATGTATTGGGCCATATGAAAATAGAATGTAACGGTCGAGCAAGTTATATTTACTCGATGGAAGGTAAAATGATGGAAGAAGGTGGATCACCAGAATTACTTCTTCTCACCGAACCACCATTACCTTATCATTATCCTCTTTCTTCTACTGGAAATCCCACTCCTGAAATGGCTTCCCATTTGATCAATCTCTATTTTATCCATGTTCATCCCTATATTCCCATTCTCCATAAGGATAACTTTCTAAGGCGTCTTAATGATAAGAGTAATCCAATTTCACCGTTATTATTATACACTGTATTTGCCTTGGGTGCAAAATATGTCAATGATCCAAGTGTTTGTCTTGATCCCACCAAATCAGAGACAGCTGGTATCCCTTTTTACAGAAAAGCCAAGGGTAATTATTAAAATATTTATTAGTAAAATATATTAAATTTTTTAATTAATAATTCGATTAATAATTTTTTTTTTAAAAAAAAAAAAGATCTTCTAGACGATTTCTTAGATGTTCCTAGATTATCTACAATACAAGCTCAAATATTACTTTTAAAATTTCAAGAAGGTATCCGAAGACCTGGCTTCTTTTTTAGAAGTTGGTTATGCTTTGGAACAATAATTAGAATGGCTCAAGATTTAGGTTTAGACAAAAACTTTGATAAATGGGATTTGCGTATTTCTAAAGAAGACAAAATTGTTAGAAAACGTATATGGCAAGTTTGCTTTCTGTGTGATCAATTCATGAGTGGTGCACAAGGTAATTATAAATTAATTTTAATATTTAATTTTTAATAATTAATTCTCAATTTTTCTAATATTTTTTTTTAAAAATATAGGAAGAGAAATTGCCATAACATTATCAAATACAGATATAGAACTTCCAAAAAAAGAAGATTATGGAGATGCACAAGAATTACAGATACAAACAGATTTTGTTCATATTGTACGTTTGACTAAAATTCTTTCTAGTGTAATGCCAGTAATCTCACCAGCAGGTTCTTCCGGTACTTGGTCATCAAATCCAAAATTACATATTTTGGATACTGTTTTGGATGCTTGGTTACAGGCTTTACCACCAAGATTAAGATGTCAATTACCAACTGACAATAATAGTGGAACTTTACCTCAACCTCCGTCATCACATTTTGCTGGATTTCTTAATATTTTATATCACACAATAATCATATTACTACATAGACCTTATTTAGCAGATTCAGGAAAAGTAAGTCAACAGAATCCGAATCACTTGAATATATGTACGGTAGCAGCCAATAGTATATCACAAATTACCCAAGTGATGCTTGAACAATGGGGAGCAAATGTATTTCAATATCCAATTCGGGGAGGAAATTATGGAACTTATTGTTTAGTGGCAGCATCAATGATCCATTTAGTTAACATGTCATCAAATGATTTAAGATTCTCACAGCCAGCTCATGATTATTTATCATCAACTTTAAGTGTTTTAAAAGTTTGTGTTGAACAAAGTGCGGCATGGGAATTACGAGATAAAGTACAAGGATTGGAAATAGCATTCACAACACAAAGGGCACGTCAATCATTTGGATTATTGTTTCATCCGGGATCACCTAATGATACAAATGGTGGACAAATGAATAATCTGAATAACCGACGACGACCACCCATGCCAAGACGAAGAGCTACTACACCAAATACACAATCACAACAACAATCACCAGGATTAACAACAGTTACCGAAGTTAATCAACAAATGTTATCAAGCAGTTTGCCAGATAATTTTACACAATTTCCGCGATCATCACCACATTTCCAAGAGAGACCATTGTATATAATAACAGAAAATTCTGGTCATAATTCGTTCTCATCAGAACCAGAAAATAATTTCGAATTTATTACAACTCAGAATTCTATAAATCCTGTAAATCCTATGAATTCTATCAATTCTATGAATTCTATGAATTCTATGAATTCTGTAAATCCTATGAATTCTGTAAATCCTATGGATGAAAGTTCAATGCTTAATCTTAATAATCTTAATAGTTTAAATAATTTAGATCCATTTAATCCAATGATATCGTTAAATAATTCTAAACAACTTGGATTAGAAACAAATGGAACAGGAACATTATGGGATAACAATCCATTATTATTATGGCAAAATAACACACCGCAAATTTGGACTAATATGAGCACGCCACCAGCATCAATCACATCAACCACATCAACCACATCAACTACACCAGCATCAGGTCATCAAACACCAGAACAAGGATCCCCTTATTCTCATGGATCACCTGTTGGATCGGTAGTTGACCCGGTGATCGTAGCATCACAAAATCACGATGATATGATGTTGGCTACAAATAATACATGGTTTGGAGCTACGGCTTAAAAAAAAAAAAAAAAAGTAATACGAATAAAATTTGTAATATTATATAATTTAATTTTTAATTTAATTAATTTAATGTAAGTTAGTCTAGAAAGTATTTTAATTCTCTTTCAAGGACAATGGTCGATTTTATGTTTACGTTTATGGATTTTTTTTTTCTGGAGTGACTTTTTTTTAGTATTCGCGAAATTTATTAATGCGATTTTTCAATTATTCTTGTAATTTCAATTATTCTTTGTAATTTCAATTATTCTTTGTAATTTCAATTATTCTTTGTAATCCCAGTTATTAATTTTATTCTTCTTGTAGTATAGTATCATTACATTCTTCACTTTTAGCTAATTCACGCATCGACATTTCTGTTTAATAAAATAAAAAAAAATATATATAAAAAATAGTCAAAAAAATAATCCGTGTTTATTGTGTAATCTAAACCGTTTAGGATTTAAAATTTTTAATATCCGAATGTGTTATAAATAAAGCCAACATTCCATAAATATACTATTTTCAAAAATTAATTTTACGGAAAGAATTTTCTCTTAATGATTATTTAATCATTTTCAATTATAAACAAATATGCAATTCCCCACACAATATTTTACACGTAGTAAAAAGCGCATATATATAAATGCATAAAATTTACCAATATTTTGATATATTTATAATGTACATTTTATGACATAATAAATATAAATGTATTACGTAAACTAAAAACATAAATATTCGCATGAATAATGAGATTTATAATATTTCCTTAAAAATAGGTTATGTAAATTATGTAATGTGTTTTATTGATTCAAGTTTTTTTAAATAATGGCTATTAAACTTGGAGAGATAAAATACACCAATGATATGTTGCATTTTATAATTTTCTATATTAAGTAAATTTTGCATTATAAAGATTCAATTGATTAATGATTTCGTGATTGATAAGGCATTATGAAACATTAGTAATGATTCGATTAATGATTTGAATTTTCAAGCTTTATTCGTGATCCGCGTAACAACCAGACAAATTTAACTGTAAATTGGAATCCACTTACTGTACGTTTTTATGTTGAAATTTGTTAAAAAAAAAACTAAAAAAAAAATTACTAGAAACGATATTAAACACTTATTTAACAAATTAAAAAAAAATGTAAAGCTATCTATAATTGGATAATGGACTTCTATACAGTATGTCCGTTAAATTGTTGATCGGCGAATTTTGCCCCTTTTTTTTAATAATTTTGTCCGGTTGTTACACGGATCACGAACTAAGCTTAGAAATTTTAGAAATTTCTTTTATTAATCCTGCCTTAAAGTTGTTGTCTCGACAAATATAGTTCGGATTGCATTGTTTGATAATAACTTCATATGAAATATAAATTTCCGATTGTATTAGCCACGAGTTGACTCTTTATTATAATAAATTCTTCATCACATGCGTCCGGAGCAAGATAAATTATTAGATAACGATCACATGTCACATTAAATAAATTACATTACACTCCAAATTTACAATTTTTGTTTTTTTTTATGAATAAGATATCTGATTCATGCTATAAATAAGAATTCTAATTAAACATGCTTTTTTTAGTTTAAATGCTTTCCGATATATTTTAATGAGTTGAAATTTTAACAAAAATATGAAGAAACATAGAATATTAAATAAAATAGAAAAGATTAATAATAAAATTAGTTCACAAAAAATTATTTCCTTTTTAATTCAATATGTGATATTGAAAAAAGGATCTTAATAACAAGAAATTTTGAGAGTATCTTATTAAAAGCTAATAACTCAATAAATATAAAATAAAAAAATTAAAAACTTTGAAAAATTTATAATTTTAAAGAAATTCTATTTAAGCTTGAACTATACTTGCACCTGAAATCATTTTTACAACCTAAAAATTAATTTTGGAGGAATAGTTTTTTATAGAAAACAAAATTATTTTACTTAAAATTTAAAATTTTTAACCACTCAGATAAATTCTTTATTAAAAATACAGTACATCTAACTAGATACTTTTTTTACTTCCATATAGAAAAAATTCTCAAAAAGTTAAAATACTCTAAAATCAAAAAAAAAACCCAATTTTGAGAACATGTATAATTTGAACTATACTTGCAGAAATTGATTTTGAAAAAAAAAAAAAATCAAAATAGTTTTTCATAGAAGACGAAATTATTTTATTTAAAATCCAAAATTTTCTAATCAGCCAGATGAATTTCTTGTAAATAGATTCTAAGTAAATCTTAAAAAGTTGATTAATAGACGAAAATTCCGGAGATTTTCGGTTGTTTTTTTACTTTTTTAGACTTCACTCGCGATTTATGAAACGTAGAGTGATTTCTACTAAGGTATTTCTGAGATAGAAAGAAAGGCCTTGTTCTTTGCTACAAAATTCTATGTGTTTAATTCCAGTAGCAACGATGTTCATGGAGTTATTACGGTTTAAAGAAAAACGTCCGTGAAAAAATCGTGCGAAAATTTCCGCAAATTTTTGCACGGACGTTATTCTTTTAAACTATAATAACTCCGCGAATATCAATGTTACTGGGAAAAAATACATACCATTTTGTAGCCAATAACTAGGTCTTTCTTTCCAACTTGAAAATACCTTGGTAGAAAATCGCTTTCGCTTCATAAATCGCGAGCGAAGTCGAAAAAAGTAAAAAACTGATGAAAATATTCGGAAATTTTCGCGTTTTTTTTTTCGTTTTTTCGACTTCGCTCGTGATTTATGAAGCGTAAAGCGATTTCTACTAAGGTTTTCTAAATAGAAAAAAAGGTCTTGTTCTTGACTACACAATGGTATGTGTTTCATCCCTGTAACATCGATATTCGCGGAGTTATTGTGGTTTAAAAAAAACGTCCGTGAAAAATCATGCGAAAATTTGCGCAAATCTTCCGAGCGATTTTTTTCACGGACGTTTTTCTTTAAACTGCAATAACACTGCAAATAACACGGGCTACTGGGATGGAGCACATGCTATTTGTAGCCAAGAATAAGGCCTTTCTTTCTACCTTAGAAATACCTTAGTAGAAAATCGCTCTACGTTTCATGAATCGCGAGCGAAGTCGAAAAAACGTAAAAAACACCAAAAATCTCCGGAAATTAAATTTCTTTATCTGGATTTTCCCGAATATAATATTCTACTTAATGAGACTGGAAGCCCACGGTGGTTTTTTCTGGATGGTGCGCAAATATATTTTTCCCAATATTTCGCTAGCTTCTTCATAATTATCAAATAAATCCATAAACGTTTCAAATTCCAACTCTCCAGAGTCCAATAAAGCTTTGATTGCTTTCTTTCCTACTCCACGGTGCAATAGGTGTTGTGCTTCATTGAATTTCTTTCTCACTTTACGAAAAACTGACTGTTTGATAACTGCAGAAAAAGAGAAAAAGAGAAAAAGAGTTGAACAATTAACATTAAGCGAAGTTGCATAAACCCATTTTGCAAAATAATGAATACCTTCGAAGTCTTGGCCAGCTAAAGACTTGTCCGCCACCCGTCCTAAATAAATAATATGGCCACCAACCAGTTCATATAATTTTTCTGCTTCCTCCTTTTTTACCTTGCGCTTGTCAATTAGATAATTTATTGATTCTTCCTTACTAAGATCTCTGATTTCTATTGGATCATCTACATGCGAAAAGAAACTGTGGGCTAAAATAAGAATCATATCTTGTAATACTATCTTTCGAAAGCATAAAAAATCTATATACTTACATTCCATTCTTCTCGGGACTGAACCTTCACTGCTGACAAACACAGAAATATACTTATGATCATTGGCATTGTCTTTCGCATTATCCTGGAGAGAATCAAGGAGTTTCAAATTTTCAGGTACTAATCAGCTGGCATTGTCTTAGATAATGACCTGAGGTCTGTCATGCTTTGCTTTATACACATCAGATGCACGCATAAACGCATCTATAACTCTCATCTACTTCGGATAATTAAACTTTACTACAAAGGGAAATTAGTGTTAAAATATTGGTTGTCATCAATAAACAGTAACGATTAACTTACTATTGGTATTTTTCGCTTTAATTGTGTTGTAAAAGAAATATGTTCTTCAAATGAAAAATTAATCGTTCCTCAGCAAATTTTTCAGAGTTAGCAGGGAAATCAATTTAAATGACTCCCATTCCGTCCTGTATTCCTTTATCCTTATCCTGCCCTGCTTCTCTTGTTGTGATTTTAGTTAACGTGGTTTTCCCACATCTTTGTTCTCTGCAGACAATATAATGAGATGATTGGTTTTTATGTGGCTGAAAAATTTTTACAAGTTGTTCTACAACTTGGGACAAGTCTTACATCTTTAGCTTGTCTAATAACTAATTTTAAATATATGAGTCTTACATATTTTATTTGTCTTATGATAAGTTTATAGACTTGCCAATTTCTTTGATACAGTTTCTTTCACCTGTTCAGTGTTACTAGTAGACCTTTTGGACTAATTTTATTTTCCAAAAGGTAAGTTATAACTAGTAACTCGTAAACAAGAAGAAATGTATTTATGAATTGTAAGAATAAACTTAACAAAAATTAAATGAACAAGAAATAATTCAACTATAAACTAATAAAGGACTTAGAATTTATATAGACAATTACTGACTATATTAAAATAACTATTAAATTTAAGTGAACAATTCAAGAGATTAGAGTTAAGAGTTAAAGATATTTATCAAAAAATTACAAGGTATTAACAATAGTTTATTAATAATAATTTCATCAGGAATTAAATAAAAACATTCTACAACACTATATGAATACTGTTCTATAGCATTATTCAAATAGCACTAACATACTAGAATGCAACATTCTAATACATTATTTAAACATTTCATATTAATAGCATACTGAATATACTGTTCTAGTGCATTATTTAAATGTTTCATATTTATAGTGTACTAGAATACAATGTTCTAGTGCATTATTTAAACATTTCATATTTATAGCATACTAGAATGTCTCTATAAAATTGCTGATATTATATTTGAAAAATATAAATTAATAAGAAGATAATAGAGTCTAAATAAAAAAAGATATATGTTTATTACAAAATAAATCAATAATAAAACACTGGTCGAAAATTTATAAACACTACACCTATCAGGTGCCTAATAGATGTAAGAGTAATGTATATGTTTATACACTTATCAGGTATTCAATAGGTATATCAGGTACCTAATAGGTGTAAAAAATATTTTACTACACTTATAAGGTACCTGATAAGTGTATAAACATGTACATTACTCTTATACCTATCTGGCACCTAATAGGTGTAGTATTTATAAATTTTTGACCAGTGCTATCAATTAAAATTGTCAAAATATTAATTTAATATTAAAATTAATTACAAATTCAATACAGTAAGATTTTAAATCTATCAAAATCTATTCTGAAGGAAAAGAAAAATTTGTCTTTTTTATAATATTTAACTTAGCTAAAGACTTGATTAATAACTATATCAATATCTTTACCAGTAATTATATCAATTAGTTGATCATTAACTTTGACAATTAGTTGATCAATTAGTTGATTATTAAATTAATTATTAACTTTGCCACATTATTAATTTATATAATATGTATTACAACAAATATAAATAATAAACAAATAATAATATAATACTAATATAATAATAAATATATAGCTAATAATAATATAAATGTTAATAATAAAATAATAATAAATATATAATATAATAATAAATAAAATAAAATAATAATAGAAAAATTACATATAATATCAATTAGTTTATTAAATACAAGTCAAATATAAAAAATATATTGTACCAAAAGAAATTCTAATTTTTGTTGATTATAATATAGGATACAATAGAATAATCAATTATTACTGATTTTTAACTGATCTATAGTATAGGAATTACCATTCAGTACAGTAATTCTTTTGTATTTGACTAGTGAAACTTGCTAGTCTTTATGTTATAACTTAAATTATTTAGTTAATATATATTTATATTAATCTTGTTAGAATTTTTAATATATATTATTTTTATTAGAATATATTTATATAAGTACTTTATATATATTAACTTTGTAATTACAATAATTAAATATATATTTATATTAAATTAATGATCATTTTATTAAGGACATTAAATTATTATTTATTATATATTTTTAAGAATATTTATAAGTTATTATATTTAATTAACTATCCTAGTTACTAATTATAATTTAGTATAATTATATTTTAATTATTTTGCTAATTGAGGTGGTAGGTTGTAGATCTGTTTTTTATAAGTTAGTTCAAGTCTCATTTTTTCAAATAAACATTAGAATAAGTTGTGTATTTTGTATTATGTAATTTTATATAATGTAAAAACTTTCTCTTTTTCTAATTAATAAATTTGAGACAAGACCTTGTTAAAAAAAAAAAAAAAATTATTTTACTAATTGAATATTTTTCAAAAGTTAATTGTTAATTATTTTTTAATTAACTATATTTTAAATGATTTTTAATTAAATATTTTAAGTTAAAGGTAATTCTTTAATTTTCTAACTTACTGATTCTCTAACTTTCTCTATTTCTAATTTTGAAGAATTCTTATTTTTTATATAAGAAAATTATTTATAAGTAATCTTTAATTATAATCTTGTTTCTCTTATTTGATAATTTGTGAAAGATAAATTATTTTATTTATAAATAATTTACAGATAAGAAATATTATATTATTAAATATTATTTATATTTTCTATATTATTAATACTGGTCAAAAATTTATAAATATCACACTTATCAAATACTTAATAAGTATAAGAATAATGTACATATTTATATATTTATCAAGTATTCAATAAGTATATCAGGTATCTAATATATATAAAAAATATTTTACTACACTTATCAAGTATTCAATATATCTATTAGGTATCTAATAAGTATATAAACATTTATATTACTCTTATATCTATTAGACATCTAATAGATATAATATTTATAAATTTTTGATCAGTGTAAAAATATTATTAAATATTAATAATAATTAGTATTTTTCAAATATAAATATTTATTTTTTTTAACAGATTAAAGATTTGTACTTTCTATATTTTGTATAATCTTACTATAACTAAATATTGTATTATGAAATATTACTACATCTCATATAACTAGTTTAATCTTATATTACATTTTGAATCATTATTAATTATTACTATGGTCAAAGTAATATTATTATTAAATTATTATTATAATAACCTTTCTTTCTGTAAAAATATATCAAAAATGAATTTTAATTTTAATTAATTTATAATATAGGATATAATAAATAGTTAATTTTTAACTAGTTAATAATATAGAAATTTCAATTTTTAATTAATCAATAATATAAAAATCACCATTTGATATGATAGTTTTTTCATATTTAACTAAAATATACTTTATACTTCAGATCTTCATTTGATTTTTTTACATATTTATATTATCATTTTATAAAGTTAAAATAATATTTTTAATATTTTTATAATTTTTAATTAATTATAATGAAAATTTAATTTTAAATTAATGTGCGATAAAGATATAATCTATAAATAATTAATTTGTTAATTTGACAAATTATATATAATAATATAAATTAATATATTAATTTTTTAAAATTTAAAGATCTGAATTAAAAAAAAAATAATAATAATTTAATAATTTGAATTATAAATTGAAGAATTAATTCAAATTATTTTTTCAAATTGTAAATTATTTTTTTAATTTACAAATTATTTTTTCAATTTGTATATTAATTAAGAATTATAAAAAAATTTTTTTATATTACTAATTTGATTTTTTTAAAAAAACTGATTTTATTGTAATACTACTTTTTAATACTTTTTAAAAATTTTTATCTAATATATTTGACTAATTTATTTTTCACTGTTTAATTTGAACTTAATATCTAATTGATATATATTATCAAAATTATTAAATTAAGTTAAATACAATTAAAAATTAAAAAAAAATTGAAATTAAGTAAAGTAAAATTTTTAATTTTACTAATAACTAATATAATTATTTGAGTCAAATATAATTAAAAATTGAAAAAATTAAAATTAAATAAATAGGTTTTAAATTTAAATAATATATATAATTTAGTTTATTTAACTATAATAGAAAATTGAAAATATAAAATAATTATTACTATTTTTAAAATAGTTTGATCAGTAAATTAACTTATTAAAATATCAAAAATCCAAATTTCAATAATTAAGTGATTTGGTTAATTAATGAATTTTCAAATTTTAATTATATTATTAAATTATATAAATTACATATTAGTTTTTAACTAAATATAAACAAATTATTATTTTTATTATTTTAAATATTGTTATCTGATAAACTTTCTACAAATTATAAAAATAATGGAATAAAATAATACTACATCAGGAAATTTAATTAGGCGTCGATTTACGGAATATCACATGACCTCCGGAAATTTCCGCCTGAAAAATTTGATTTTTTAACTTTGGCCGAGATTTAGGCGACAGGGAGCGATTTTCTACTAAGATGTTTCTAAGA